TGCTCTAACGAGACTAATAACCGTCGCAGTCGTCGTGCCGAGAAACATCAGTCAATGAAATTAGCAACTCATACCCACGGCTCTACTCCTGCCACAACTAGCGAAACGGGAGCTGACAACACGTTGCGCGTACGTGGAGCTAACATTTTGCGTCCAGGAGGCAGAACAACATCGCCCGCTGCTCAACGTGCGTTCCGTCGCTCGTTTCGTGGCTGGGCGCACTGCGTGCGAGCGTCGGGGCGGGGGCGGCGGCGGCGGCGGGCAGCGGCGTCGGGGGCGCACACGCGGGTCGATGTAGCGCGAGGCGGCGCGAAGCGCTGCGAAGCGGAACGGCCGTCTGCCAACGCGCAGCTTCCTTCCACGCTCCTACCCACAACCACGCTGTGGCCCTCACTAACGATTGATTGAATAGTGATTCCGCGCGCGTCAACGGCGTAAGTCATTAGTCCCGTAAGTGTAGCGCATGTTGTTGTTTCCACCGCCGGAGGTGGCTGTAATATTCTCCCGCTGGATGACGGGATCCGGCGCCGATCTACCTTGCGACTTAAGGGAGTTTTCCCCAACTAGGTATCTCCCATCTGCGTGGCACCGCCCCAACTGGGACAAGCTCTAAGCTCCCGACTTATCTCCAAGCATGTGTGGTAGTGTAGTGTGTGTGAGCAAGTAAGGGATGAGGATAGAAGAAGAGGAGGGAAATACCATGCGCGGTTCGTGGCCCGTTTGTTAGGGTACTGCTCCGTCGCCTGGTGTTGATCGGAGAAACCACGAAAAACTACTGAACAAAGCAGCCTAGAATTCTCCTCCAGTCAGCGTCTGACTTCGAACTAGCACTGTCGGGACTGACACAGTCGGGAGTCGAACACTACACCGCCAGGTTAGAATCACTGCAGTGACATCAATTGATGCCCTGAGCCACCTAAGCCAGTCCCCCCTAATGATATTGAAATATCGATTCATTAATGATCACAGTTTCCGGGCGCGTCCGCGCTACGGCCAATATTCTCGTAAGTGTAGAGGATGTTTTTCAAGGGATGCGGCTGTGATCTTCCCCATATGGATGGTGAGATCTGGCGCCCATCTTCACGTCGGCTTGCAGGAGTTTTTCCCAACCCCGAATCTACCATCAGTGAGGGGCTGCTCTAAGCTTCCGACTGGTCTTCAGATATTCTTCTTACTTTCTCGCTACTGCTTAAGCAGAGGAGATAAAGTTACGAAACACTGCGCTAGAAAAGGGTGAATTCTTAGCAGAAAAACTATTGCATTGCCCAGGTAACGAAAAAACTAATACATACACCTGATAAACTTAGAAAAACAGTTTCTATCACATTATGTAACCAGAATCCTTCTTTTATGGGTCCTTGATTCCGATAAATCGAATGACGCCAAAACGTGTCTGTCCGTCCGTCTGTGGACAACGCTAGTGTCTAAATCGATCAGACGATTTTCTCCAAAATTGATATTCCCCAGTCAATCTGACTGATGTGACGGTCCCTTGAATTTGAAACTGATATTTTAATTTTTTGGAAGGGATACATTACATGAAGTCTCCGGGACATTTTCAAATTTTTCAAAAAAAATGAATCCAACGTTTTTTATTAAATTTTGTTGTTGTATAGTGTGATGGGAATTGTAAAGAATGGTGCAGATCTCATTTGTGTTGAAAACTAATTTTTCAAAAATTGCAAAAATTCCGAACTTTTTCGTCGTCTTTCTGCAACTACAATTATAAAGATAGAAACTTTTCCGCCCTTAAATCTGTTCCTTAAAGGTACATTTTAAAATAAAGTCGTGAACATTTTTTCGAAAATTTGAGTACTTTTTGCGTAATTATTCGTGAGAGTACGGGCGATAAAATACGTGCTGTTTTAGCACCACTAGTTTCTACATTGTCACTTGTGAAAATATTCTCAAATTGAATGTGAATGCTATTCTGACACAGCTGTCTTACAGTTTCATTTTCTAAAAGATAAACTTTCAATATTACATTCCAATATGATGTTGTATGTTACATTCCATCTCAAAAACAGCCCGCCGATACTTCCGTTAAAAAAAAACAAATAATAATCATGCAGTTTTTGTGTAACATCGAAACTTGAGGGAAAGAAAAAAATGGGAATCGTTTACAACAAAATCAGTTTTTAGAATTGTCTATTTTTTACGGAAAATTACATGCAAATTACTGATATTTTTCGAAATGTTTGTCCATAATTTTCAACATTTTTTTCATTTCCTTATTTACAGATATAACTTTGAAGAATCTAATTTATTAAGGAAAAATTATCTACCTCCAATATTATCGTTGTAGAAAAGAGTTGCAAACATTTGTGAACTTTTGCAATTTTCGAAAATCTATAGAGTTTATAAAAAATGAGACATACGTTATTTTTTAGATGACTTTTCCAAGAAAAAATAGCTGAAAACGTTGAACCAATTTTCGAGAAAATGTTAAAAACATTTTAGGTTTCGTGTAAATTTTTCCACAAAATGAAAAAATCCGTTTCAAATTTGCAGTGCCTTGAGTTTGACCAGATCGAGTAGAGAATATCAAAGCACCAGGGTTGATGGCAGTCGGACAGACGTTTCTCCGTAAACCAATTTTTAGGTTTCTAGGACTCACCAAACACGTATTCTGATTACATAATGTATTAGATGATCTACATACGAGAACAAGAATTATCCACTTTTTTAGGTATCAGGGTCCCGTAGAAAGAGTTACGAAAAATTACCGTTTTTGTCGCAGTATTACAACACTTTCTCTATAGGGGAGAACGGGGCAATGGGAGCCTACGGGTAAAAGGAGCCTATCCCGAATAATTTGACTTTTTTTCACGCTCAAACCTGCGCATTGCGTTGAAGGTTCCCTAGCATCATCATTCGTCTACCGCACGAGCGGTGTCGCAGTTGCATTCCATTTGCCTAACAGACGACACAGTGTGTTTTCGGTCGACAGCTTGTAATTTTTGCAAATATTATCTTAAGTCGCTGAGTTTGCTACCGTGCAGGGATCTCAATAAATTGTAATTATTGTATAATTCATGTAGTTAAACGAGATCAAGTTAAAACATAAGTGCAAAATTATTTTATTCTATATTTTGTTATTTAAACAAAAACGTTACCACTCAGAGTAATGAGAGTCACTAGCAAGGGAAAATTGGAGCCTAGCTCTGATAACGCCATGTTTATTTTCACTGCAAGTTCGGTTTTTAACTTAACACGATTACAAAGCTCATTATAATGCGATGTATCTTATTTCCCGTATAAACCTCGAAAACGACCATGGGCCACAGAAAAGGCAAAGTGGACTTTACATAAACTAGGCACTGTTGTGAAGTGCATCTTGTAAGACTCAACTGTTTATAGGGATGCAAAATCTTCTGTAACCCTTATTTTACTTTGAAGAAGCGGTACAGGGCTATAAGTGAAGATGGAAATGGTGCTCTGCAACGTCCATGCCTAAATAAGCCAACCATTATTTTCTGAAGCTCAAGAAAAGAAGCTCGCTGACCACCTACTAATTACTTAGAAACATGTTTTAAAGCCATAGTAGTAAGCAGTTCTGTTCATTTGTGAATGAATGTGCAGTAACTTTCAAGCCAACAGCATCGTCTGCCTGTTTACGGACTCTTAAGAGGCATACAAGATATGTGATCTCTTTGTCGAAACGCTTGGTCCGCTGAGAAGAATAACCCCTTACAAGATAGCAGAGATTTTTAATTAAACATTTTCTCAGATCGCTTCTATGAAAAACGGAAAAACTGCTTTCAAAGCAAGAAGGAATCTGACCTTTAAATGTTGCAGTCTTTAAAAAAGATGACTTTGCAGTTAACCCTACGAGTGAACCTCAAACTGTAGTTGGGACTACAGCCAGTGCGTCCCAGACTATGTTCTCGGAGGTGGGGCCCTTGTAGAGATGGGCAGGGACGAAAACTAAGAACCAATAGTGCTACCTTCATTTAAAGCTCAAGAACGTAATGTTACTTTGCACAAAGAAGAGGCAACCAGAGCGGAGGTGAAGATTCCTTTACAAACAGTTTGTCCTCGATCTCCCCCCACGCCAAAAGGTCTACCAACCCTTCAAAACTGCTCGTAAGAAACGGCATTCGGAGATTTTGACTGCCTCGCCTATCAAAAACCTCTATGAAGAAAAGGAATAACGAAAGAAAGAGAACTCAGAAGGCAAGGGTTCGCCTAAGAAAGCATCCGAATTTTCTACTGCAAAAAAGGAAATCAAACGCTGATAACAAGGAGGAGTAGACCACCTAAACGGAACTTGCTACAATCTCCACAGAGCTCAACGATTGGCATTAAAATTGAAAGTGGCGATTCCTGTACAAAATCATTTACTTGCTTTGCTTCACTGATGTATAATCAAATGTCACTGTCTTATCTTTTAAAGAGAGAAAAAATGCATCACATCTGGGCTGTGCAGATTGTGATGTTGAACGTCTTTTATTCGCGAATTTTGTGCTAGGAATCAATAATTTATTTGTAATGTACAAAGCGTAAATGATGAATTTTCAGATACATAGTTGCAAAATATATTCGAAATTGTAAATTCAAATTCTCGCTTCGTATACCCTGTCAGTTCTCAAAATGTCAACTCGACCGTTTCAAATCATTCTAATTATTCTCATTGTTGCCAGTGATGATCGAAGATAATATTCTTATGAAATAAATTCGATTTAAGAAAGGTAATAAATTTAACTTACATCTAACTTAATTCTTTTACTTCAAGAAGTTTTGATCGCCGATTACGATATTGAAAACTATTTGCACACTTCGATGTAATCACGGCAAACTTTTATGAAATCATTCTTGCTTATCTGCACAGACTGTAATAATTAAATTTATTCATGTTTTTTTACATTTGTAAAGGTAAGAGAAAACAACTGTTCCTGACTATCGAAATAAAATCAGATATACACGACCTTGCCTTTCTCGCTCCTGACCTCTCTCTTAAAAATCCCTAAAGCACCCTCAAAGCACTGTATAATTTCCACCTCTGGGCCCAGGACAACAACATCACCATTAACCCAACCATATTTCAAGCTATTCTTTTCTCCTATAAGAAATTCCCATCCAATTCCCCACACCTGACAAGAGTTTAAACCACCATTCCCTAACAATCCGAAGTCAAATACGTAGGAGCGACCTCTTTCCAGATGCTTCTTTGATTCCGTCATAACTAGCAAAGTCTCCAAAACAAACAGAACTATCAAATGCCCTTTACACATTCCTAACGAACCAGTTCCTTCCTCCTAGAAAGGGAATACTCATCTACTCGTACAACTAATTCGCTCAGTACTTACCAACTCTATTATTACCTACACATTACTGCTCAATACTACCCGCCCTGATATCAACCTCTCAATCAACCTTGATTACCTCACCAAAGTAGAAAACTGTCTCATCTTCCGACTCACTCGGTATACCAGATACAACATTAGATTAAAAAACAATGTACCTCGTATCCTAAATCAAATCTATGATTTCGCAAAATTCACTATACAAAACCTTATCAATATTCCGAAATTACAAAACCTAATAATTCCTGACCCAATACATTCTTACAAACCCTTCCAGAGAGTCCTGAAAGAAACACCTTCTCTACAACATTCACCTTCCCATCCTGTCACCTGATAGTGGGCAGATGACTCTAATTGACGAAAACTGACGAAATACCGTCTGTCGACGTACATACCATGATGACATAAATTCCGACCGAAATAGACTTGGAAAACGCAATCATCTACCACGCAACCGTTTCCCCTTACAAAAACTCAACAAAACAAACATTCCCTTCCTCCCAATCATCTCCTCACCGTCCCTATCATCTCTCTTCTCATTCTTCTTTATCCCTCGTCCTACTACCCTAATACTAAAGTATTCTTTCTTTACACACCCAACTTCCTAATCCCAGTCTCTGTTCGGTGGAATGGAGCTCTAAATTGAAAACTTACTCTATGCGCCTGAATTGAAGAGTCTCCTGAGACAGGCAATTTCAATAAAAAAGAATATCAGCAGCGACTGATCTGAAATTTTAGGCGCGAAAATGCTTCTGCAATCCCGCAACAGTCAATAGTACGACGGGTTGCATTCGACGTGTTAAGCAAGGCGTTTCTACAATGGCGACAATCCAAGGAAGTCTTGTTTGCATTACATGTGAGCAAATTAATAAATCAATACCACTTTGATTACTCAATAACTATCGAAATAATTCGTTATTGGTTAATTTGAATATTAGTTCCTTCCCTTAAATTTCTTAACCAGCATTAATAAGTGGTGCTACAAATGACACAGACTTTCTCGTGCAAGTTAAGTTTCCTTATCTCATGTGTTTGCGGTTTCTTTCCGGTTTTGTTCCACCCTCTTCTCAGCTGCCATCTATTGGCGCCCAATTGATATTTTTCACATTTTTTTCTTTTCAATTTTTCGCTCCTCTAATCGTAAAAATGAAATATGATTTCAAGAATATTATAGAATAGTAAAATTTGGTCCTTAATGCAACATTTCATTGAAATTTTGGAGCCGTTTTTGAGAAAATGTCGTTCAAAAACTGAAAATGCACATGTTGAAGCTTATTTCAAACTAAAACTTTTGAGTGTTCGGGAAAAAAGAAATTACTTGTAACAATTGTATTCACAAATGCGATAACGTATAGGAAATATGCATAGTATACGGTATCGTAAATACCAACATCATATGTACTCGTAATCACATTTTAAAAAAATGCATTTGTGTCATTATAAAAAACACAAGAACACATCAAATGGCGTTTATATAATCTTATAAGGCCTCTACACATGGGCCAATTTGTCGGACCGACAGTCAGGAAAACGAAATTGGACTCTCGACTACACACTGTCCGACTAAAACCCGGATTTTCCAGTAGGAATTTTGACAAGGTGCGAGCAAGACTGCGAGCACAGTGAGTCCCGAAAATCTGTCCAAGCATTTTCATTTGCTTTTCTTTACGTTGATTTCATTCTCATAATTATTCGTCAAAATTCGCTTACATTACCCACTTTGAAAATTAATTTTCATTTTACTCGTATTTACTTTTCTGCCAAATTTGATCCGTAATTTTATTTCCTGAAAGTTTCGACTTCATACTCGTAATCAGAGATCACCAACCCCCACCACCACCAAGTACCAAAGAACGTTCTAATTAAACTGTTTCGCATTTGAAGACTGGAATCACTGTAAGTTGGCCCAACACTACAACACAATTTGTCTAGCAGTATGGTGGGGGAACCGACGGTCGTGTGGTCAGGACCAAACAACTGCCCGCCAAAAATTTGTTGGACGACTTACTTCCATACAATGCAATGTGTCGGATTGACTGGCCGGTCGGCCCGACAAAGTGGTACGTGTGTATGGGCCTATAGAGTGGACGTAGCATTATCTATTAAAAAAGAAAAAAATGGAGCCGTTTTTTAGAAAATGTATTTGAGGATTTTGAAAATGCTCAATTTGGAGCTCATTTTCACAGAAAACTGATTGGTGACTCCAGGCGTGTCAACTCTAAATAACGTCCCTCGTGCATGGCCCATTGTACGTGTCATATAGTAGATACGCCCCTGCATGTATGTGTAAGTAAGGGGGGTGAGGATAGGACAAGAACGGGGAAGAAAAGATTGTGCGTGGCCCGTTTGTTAGGGTACTGCTCCGGCATTCACTTATGTTGGTTGAGGAAACCATGAAAAACTATTGAACAGAGCAGCCACCTCTAGTATTCCCCTTCACTCAGCAATTGATTTCCACCAAGCTATTTAGTGTCAAAAATCCTGCATCCGTCATTCCCCAAACCTAGCAATTTTTATCCTTTCATCTAAATAAAATGGCAAATTGTCTAGAAAATTGTCTTTTTGAGGCTGTTGTCGACACTGCATAGTAACATTCCTTCTGTCCCAATCTTTTCATGGTCACCGATTCTTTAACAGAATATACTTCAAATTTGCATTGTTCAATGATTGTGTAATCAAGTTGTGAACTGCAAACTCAAACATCTCTTTTTTGCAGGTAACGTGAGAGATAGTGGCAAGTTTTCAAGTTCATTTTATTATAATTTTCTGTGATAGGATGTAGAACCTGTACTTCTATCAATGTGAATTTTTTCATTTCCATCTCGTGTAACATGCAGATTTGCACTTGAAAGGTGTCAAACCACGTGTGTGCATAGCCTGTTGTCCAGCGCACTACGTTGTGTTTCACACGATACAATGCCATTCATTTGGGATTCTCTTTACTGGCCTGTTCACAAATATTGGTCTGAGTCACTCGGCAAATTGACACCAAAAACAGCTGCAAATATAATTCAGTATTATAGATATGCATGGTATATCACCTTCACAGCTTTTTTTGACAACATCAACTAGTTTATTGACATGGAAAGGCAATGTAAAAACATTCTAACAGACTACGCTTAATCTGCTATTTGAAGAGGACCCTGTACTTTTTGAATGCAATATTGAAGAAAAAGCCTTGTCTTACATGTAGGAAAATATGATAATTACTTGTTTTGTGTATTTCTCCCATCTCAATCTCAAATAATGTGGTTACCTTAGTGATGCTTGTTATTTTGAGATGAATTACAAGAGCCCTATTTCCATCTGTACCTGACTAATAATTATGAAGGTGTAATGAATTTACTTCAACTTACATTTTTTTTTAATCGTTGCTAATTAATTCATATCACCTTGTCCTTTCTTTCTGTCTTTGGAGACTAAAATAGAACAAGCCTCCTCCAATGATATGTTAATATGATATATTAATACGATGTTAATAAGGAACCAGGTACAGCTTTACACAACAAATTCTTTGTTAACTACGCAAACATGTTTAAAGTGAAGGTGTATTATGGCACTTTATGGAGTCATGAGAATGGGTATAATTATTTCATCTGAACATGGAACTCTTTCGATGAAACTTGCACTTATCTTACTAATTTACAATGAGTCAATGTGCTTTACACTTTTCATAATCTTTACTTGATACTCCTAGCAAGGATTTATAAGATTATTTCCATGTCATCATCTAAGATATTGTAGTCACATTGTTCCACTAACATAAACAAATTGCAGCTTTCAACATCAATAACAGCAATATGAATACATTAGTATATTTTTCTAGAAGAAACTTGAAATAGATAAATTCCCAGTGTCAGGTGCTGCAGGAACAGAAATATTTCACATATTCGGGAAAGTACAACAATAAATATATTGTTTTGGTACTGCTGCTATTAGAAATGAACATAAAACATAATATATTATTAATATATTTTTTATATTATTTAAGATTCTTTATTTCATCCACAATTAACTTCACCAACGTACCCTCACATCATAATAAAGGAATATGACTATACAATAATCCAACAATACATTCCAAATATAGACATCACACAATGAATCACTTTCATTCCTTTCCGAGACCCACAAGCTCTTTCTAATTAAAATCACAGCTGTTGGAAGTGAACTTGTTCAACATGTCCATTTGGAAACATCTGCCACCTCAAATTTCCCTTTGTCCAGATTGCTTGTTTTGTTTACTCAAATAGTTATTAATTAATTTCATTCAACACTTATCCACATCCATAGTTCCAGAAAAGACAGTATAAATACAATTTCAACGCAGACCTATATTTACACTATCACTGATAGTTTCAATTTTTTCAAATTGTAACATATGTACATGTATTTTTGTGAAATTATCATCAATTTATTGCAGTCCTTAAACATATTATGCTAAATATCCATACAAAATCAATGTGATATGCCTTCATTATGAGTTTGACACCTATGTAGTGGATATATTTTCATTATTTTTCCGCATTGCTTTTAGTCTTTGCTTCATCCTCTGCTTCATTTTCACTCTCTGATTCATCGCTATCCTCTTCACTACCTTCTTCATCATCATCATCATCTTCGTCATCATCATCATCGTCGTCTTCATCATCTGTACCTGTTCAAAGAAAATTCGAGGGAGATAGTTACCATTAAGAAAAAATATTAGTCATATTATACAAAAATAACAATAATTAAATTTTTCAACAGTTTGTTGTCTCCGGTAACATCTCTAAGAAATTACTAGATGTTTCCTTGTAACTAGAAACGGGATTTTAGGTAAAGTGTTCAGTTTATTATCAAAGATATCAGAAAAAAACAATGTAAAATCATAAAAAGGTTTTACTGTGGTGTACAGTGAAGATAATGTTTTCCCATTTCTATTTTCTTCATTGATTCTGCTTTTATTCAAAATTACTGGAAAGACGTAGCAGAATCAAGAAATTCCATAACTTTTCTACATCCATTTACTGAAGTTATGAAGTTTTAAGTCAAAATGTCATTAAATAAGATTAACTCAAAATGACTAAAAACATTGTAATAATTAGTAATAACTAAAAATTGTAAAACACCATTGAAAGAATACCCGATTTGTATCTCTTTCCAAAAGTCTGCTTATCTGCTACTTTTCTTAGCAACAATAAGAATTTATAAGGGTGTTGGGATGAACTGTTTAGAAAATATAGACTTGGTGGTCCTATGTCAAAAGGAAAATGTGAGTGACAATGCTAATAATCCAAACCTGTAGATATTTAAAACTGTAGGGATGATTTCCAAGGGACAAAATGTCCCAAACCAAGGCAGAAGAGCTCAAGAGAGTGCAATACATAGGGTCATAAGTTTGAGTCCTGCATACCCATAGGTGTTTTCACTCTTGTGTTGTGGCATGGCTGACTTTCCCACCCTTCACATATCAGCTTTTTTAATACATCCTGCCATTCTTGGTTGGTCCGGGTGGCAAAAGAGCTTGCATCAAAGGCAAGTACCTTGGTTGACCTTGGCTGTATTTGTGAGATGGGATATATTCTCACAAATATATGTACATGAGAGGGGGAATCTTCTATGCGCACCTTATTTACCTTGTTCCCAGCATAAGCCCCGATTGGTAATTATGAGTGTGATCTGCATGTAACCTGATGGTGAGTGAATGAGTAACTGGCTCCCTCACCCCCATCTACCGTCCTTGGCAAGCACAGATTTGAGCTATCTCGGGCAAAATTATGAAGGTACAGAATGAATGTGGGCCAAAAGGCCTCAGTGTGTCCTCCGAGGAGCAAGAGGGGGACTCCTCACTGGAAAGAGTTCAAAGGGGAATGGTAGTGACCATGACAGACGCTGCTTCAACTTTCAGACACCTACAGATGGCAGCTGGGAAGGAAGTTGCAAGGTAGCCCCACCCAAAAAGGAAAAGGAAAGGTAAGGAACAAGTGATATTGAAGCGTATATAGAAAGTGTTTGTAAATGACCTAATAACAACCATTGATTGGAGTAGATGTCATTTTCAATCCCTGAAAAATATAATATTTTAAAGAAACAGTTCATACAAAATTATCAATTATTTTCAATCTAATTAAAAATTATCAATTTGAAGAAGTCTCTGGTTGTTATGTTTGATTAATGACTAATTCTTAATGACTACAGATATCTAGTGTGTAATGAGACTGGTACAGTGACATAATGAAAACATGAAAATTCATTATAAAATTAAAAAAGAATGTGCACAAATGTGTGCCTACATATTGCACAAATTTACACAATTTACAAATGCATTAAATTTCATAGCATATTGAATGGCAAAATATGTTAACATCCAAACATATTGGATTCTTGGAAGGCACGTGTAGCCGTATAAAATTGGTATTGGTTTTAAAATTGTGAATAGTAGTTTTTGGTGTTTATATTTTTAAATTATTAGTATTTTTTCCTTGCTCTTTTTCTATCTCAATTTTCATCATTTTGGAAACATTTCCCATACACCAATAAATTACAAGAATGAAGCAGTAGAACTACAAAAATCCCCATTCATCAAATAATGCAATTATACACAACTTGACTACAATTTATAATAGAATTATATTGTTAAATTAAGTGAAAGAGAAACTATTAAAAAACACCTTCATTCTGTTGACTATTGAAGGAATTTGAAACCGTAAAGAGTAAGTGAATAAAGAAATGAAATGGAGAGTGGATTGATTAAATATACGAATGATAATGAAATGAACGATTGATGGAAGCGATTCAGAACAGTACATATTTTTCCAATGAAAAGGAAAACTCCTGCTGTTGACCCAGAATATCAAGAAGTTCAGAATTTGCAATATTTAACATTATATCAACATTCCAAAGCAAGCAAGATATTCATCATGAATAAGAATTATTTCTTTAATAGATTACATACCTTCATGATGTGCAGATCTTGCCCCATAACCATTTGGAGAATAATCATTGTCCTCATCATCATCATAATAATTTCCTTGATTTTGCCTCCCATATTTATGGCTGCGAGCTACAAAAGACAGATGTAAAACAGAGGAGTTCTCACTTTGCAATTCAGATCTCCCCAAAATATACAATTCTAAAACATTTGCATTGACTTAAATAAAATAAAATATTGTAATAGATAGCAGGATTTCTAATCCAAAGTAAATGAAAAAACGTTTACATTCCATACTTACTGGACATACTCAGATCCTTTGTCTGTGATGTATCAAATCCACACTTTGGACATGGTATAGGTTTGTTTTTATCATATTTGAAACCTTTCCGACGGACATGATCTTCACAATAACATGTTTTGCATCTCAAACAAGAATACTGACCTAATTTATTGCAAGACTGACCTGTATAACACAAAAATACCAATCATTAAAATCGTTAAGACTTTTTTTTACGATTGGAAAAAATTTCATTATCACACAATTCAGAACAACAACATATGCTAATCAGAAAACAATGTAACTGGGATTCAAGATTAAAAGTTATTTGTAGTTGAGTCAAAAATGATTTCTAAAACAAGTAATTAGTTTGAAAGTAGGGAAAGCAACACATTTATTCTACACCTGCAGAGCAAATCAGAAGGGGTGAAGTCCCTTCACAATCAGTCCATTCAGTGTGCTAGAAAAGTTCCTCTGCAGTTGCACCAGGTTTACAAGAGTGCTATCAACAAAAATTATGTTCATATTACAAACTTCAGGTAGTGTCTAGTAGGTGGCACAGAAGCAGTATGGGAAAGGGGTGAGGGGTGACGGCATACTAGTGCCCCACAGGGCAGTGAAACAGAGGGTGGAAGAGGGGGCTATGGCCTAGTCCAGTTGGCTCAGTGCAGAGAGACTTTTCTGGCACATGATACAACAATATTAATTTTACCCATCATACATACAAAAGTACATTTGAAATAGGATTGGATTAATAATAATAAATATAAGACATATCTTAGTATTTACATTTATAATTTTCAGATTCCAAAACTTGACAGGAAGCCTGGTGTTCAAATTGATCATCTTCACACAGAAAGTTTGAACAAAAGGAACATTGGAACATTCTCCCTCCATGATCCCAAACACATCTTTCACATTCAATACAAATAGCATCTTGAAGAGGACATGAGCAGGCATGTGTAGTGAGGCATTTTCTTCCATGACACACCCATGCCTCACAGAAGTCACATATTGCACCCTACGCAGAAATTAAAAGTTTATCAGCAGTTTTAAAAATGAAATTAGCAAATACACAGCAGTACCAGTTGTACTGCCAACCCTGGTATGTTCATAATGTAGAGAGATCAATTCACAGCAATACAACAAATTTCAATGCTAAATCAAAATATATGTTTATTTTTCACACATAACTTTAAATAGGACGTATAGTTACCACTTTCCATTTTCTCTATATTGTTTACTCAAAGCCTGGTGATGTTGGTTCTAAAGGTTGTGCAGTATTTTCAATCAATGCAATTTAATATTGTGCTAAAGTGACACTTGTGTATTGCTGGGTAACAAGAATGTCAGGATTAATACTAGTTTAAATGTAAATGATTATGTAATCACAGTAATAAATCTTCCACACGAAAATTTAATTTCATAAAGGAAGACAAAAAAATGGAGATATTATTTTGAGGCATTAAAAATCTTCTGAAATGAAGACAGGCATAAAGAAGGATGTCAACAAAACACACTGAATAAAGAGGTTTTAACTTTACGTTGTACCAAAGTTTCTACTGAAGAGCTGAGCCTTGGCAGAGGCAGCATTGCCCAGCTTTACTGCCTTTTCCACATGCAAACTGCATAAACATTTCCAGGCAATCTAAATAGCAGCTTCCAAACCTAAACTTTTGATATTTTTCAGTATGATACCTAAACTGTCTGAATATATTTAATGAGGTGAAATTTTCAATTTGGGTGCCTTATATGTGACACAGAACTGTTTGGCTGGTGCAACACTATCTCCTTAATTTTTTTCTAAGTTACTGGCAACAAGGGAAGATTATTTTATTGAAAAGCTGCTGCTAACAAATGTTGTTCTGATTCAACTGTCTGAATTATTATGTGATTCTCAGACATCTAGCACAAATAAGAATGGTACAATGTACAGGAATGCTAAGGTGAAATTTAGTGACACAAAGGGAAATTTATGAAATGGGAGATTGAACCATTGTACCATGTGTTGACTCAACTGTTATTCTATAGTAACGTATAGTTGATAAAAAAAAAATGGAAAGGGGCAACTATGTACTATAAGGTCTATAAATTGTGTATGAGAAACAAACTTGTATGATGACTGGGCATGGTAGACTTGTATTACTTCAATTTGGCATCATAAAACATATCTTCACATTATAAATGTAACAAATGCCACCGAAAACCAAAACTAACAAAACAGCATGAAGCAATTTTAATTGCAACTAAAATGGTCCCTCACTACAATAAAGTGAAAATGCATAGATATCAATTGTAACAATGTAAACAGGAAAGAATACTTACCACCATTCCAAGACCTGTTGTGTATACACTGGGGTGACGAACTACACAATCACCCGTTTTTAACATGCATTTAACTTTTCCACAATGGGCACATTGAGGAAGACGCTGAACACTTGAACAGAAATAACAGAAGGCCCGGTTCTTCTGCTTTCTAAAACAATAACATTTTGTACCTGTTGAATTTCTACCACAAAAAATAGAGTTACCATACTTCCTTTTTACCCCAGACATTCCTTCTTTTTAAGGTATGAAAAACTGTCCGGGTGGATTTTACAAGAAAGGATGAAATGTCCCCTCTTTTATTGGAAAGGAGGTACTTCTTTGAAATGCAGCTAGATATATGATCTACAAAGGCATACTGCACTCTTTTCAAATGTTTCCGAGTCCCTGTCATCATAACATTTCATTGTATAATTAAGTGTAATTTAACTTGAACTATCTCGTCAAACAACTGCAAAAATCCATAGATCTACATTAATACATACCTACATTTACGTTCCTTTCTCAATGAAACGCGACAATGCCGTCATCACCTTTTACAACATGTTGAATGATGGTGCTGGTTATAAATTCTATGCTCTGCAATCTTAATTCTATTCTACTGGCGTGTGGAGTCATTACTGCTCTGTGGTATGTATATTTCGAGAAGGATGCCAAAAAGGAAAACTTTATTTAATGACATACTTAAAAGTTCAAAGCATTTGTTGCAAGGGGATAAGGCAATAATGAAAATGAAGTAGGCCTATTGTGTGATTGTGAAAGAGATAACAAAGATTGAAATATTTATTTTGTCAGTAGTAGGCATATTGTCCTTCAGAAAAATAAATTATTGCATGATAATATTTTATATAAAGTGTCCTCATTTTCCATTATGGAAGTATGGTAACCCTAACAAATAAAACATCAGATAATATTCAAACTTTTGCATGCTTTCAACATGTGAGTAACATATGTTGTGCAAAATCTCTCAGTCTAAATGACATAACTCTATTGTGGAAAAAAATTGTAGGTTTAACTAACACTATCACACAATCTGTCAATTTGCACCACAAAATATAATTTGCTCGTATACTACAACAACAAAAAACTACTACAGTAAAATTCAATGGGAAGAGTTTCATTGAGTTTTGTTGAAACATTTTGCAGAAAAATAAAATTGGTTAAGAATTACAGATTAAGTTGAAATATTGGACAATGCATAAATATACCAAACACAATATAATTAGAACGAGTGGACTGATTCTCCATTAAACCAATGTCTTACTCAATAATTTGCTTAATATTAATTAATATACTCAAATTCTCAGGGTTAAAAGCAGCAGTATTGCAACTAATTTGTATTCATAACAAGAGTTCATAGAATTTATCTCTATCATGCAGTGAGCATGATGTTGATCTTCCACATTTTACATTACACATTCTTTTCCCCTTTTTTATTTTTTACTCTCCTCTTCTTGCACTAACCTTCGACATTTGTCACATTCCTGAAAAAGTTGAAAGTTATTAGAATTAGAAAAGGGAAAAAATCATTCACAATCATTCATCAATCATCTTAGAGGTGGGGATGTTCTTTAGTTTTAAGGTTACGAACCATGGGAGCGTTCGATGGATGTTGAGCCAATGCAACATTTTCCCTTGCAGTTCGAATTTCCTTTTGACGTAATTTCTGCTTTTCAGCCTTTTTGCGCTGTCCTGTTTTCTTTTTGGGCATGTTGTTCTAATTCAATCGTTTAAAATTAATCGAACAATTTTCTAACGCAATAAATATCTCAGAAACATGTGAATAACACACAACTCAACGTACCTCACACCCTCATTCACACTTCTTGACACGAAATATTTGAAGGTTATGGGCAGAGTACGGTGTAATACGGTGGTCGTGGGTGGCCCGTGAAAGTTATGATCAGGTGACCCGTTTCGACCATTCGACCACGAATGCACTGCGAAGTGAGGATATATTATTATTCAGTGACACATGCACATATCACAGAGTATAGAGATGTCTGCAATGACGTCACTAAGTTTAGCGGGAAAGCATTGGATGGCAAGATCTGTTTTGCACGTACGCGTTCAATGGATCATCCTGGGATCATCAGTAACTTTTTCGGCTGTACTAAGCGGTTGTCGATGTTGGAGTTTCTTTTCACGTTTGTCATGCTTACGTAGAATAGAGAAAGTTATGTAATTCTGCCGGGAAAAGAACGCGAATTTTCGACACAAAAACGCTAGTTACCGGGGCTGGTGACGAGAAAGTGGTTACATTTTGTTCATTTTTGTAAATTTCTTCCTCTAACACGTGTAGTCAGAATCCATTTGTGGGTCCTTGATAAAGAAAAATCGATTTACGGGAAGTCTGTCCGTCTGTGAAAAACACTAAGTCTAACGCTTTAGTCGATTTTCTCTAAAATTGATATACCCCAATCGATCTAGCAGATATCATGGCTCTTTGAAACTGATTTATTTTTTTTATTTTTGTGAGCTACTTTGCATAAAGCCCTAGGTACATTTTCAATTTAAAAAAATAAAATAGCACTAAATTATTTTATTAAAGTTTGACCTCGGATAGTGTAAAGGTCGCTTAATAAAATGTTGCAGTCACACGGTCGTTAAAATCACTGATTTTGCGAAAATTGCAAAAATTCAAAATTGTTCTGTCTTCCTACAACTACAATCAGGAAAATATTTTTTCGTATTAAAATATGTTCACCAAAAACAGATCTTCAAATAAGGTCATGTTCAAATTTTCGAAAATGTGACTATTTTTTGCGTAATTTGGCGTCAAACAAATTTAATTCAATTTCTTAAAATTTTAAAAAACTATTTTCTCTTTCACAGCCACACACCCATATATATATATATATATATATATATATATATATATATATATATATATATATATATATATATATATGGGTGTGGTAAATTCAAATTTCCCGCGCTTCTTTTGAGATCGTGCCAACGATGATGAATAGTGTTGTTATGATGATGAATATGTGATGAGGCCGAGGCGTCATTTAGCGGTAATTATTTTAATTGAAACTAGCGCAATTAGGTTATCTCTTCAAAGTACGCTTTGTATTACGATGAAAAATGCGAAAGAAAAATTGAAAAAATGAGTAGCATATTTTTTACGAACTTTTATTATCATAATTTGATATTATTACCGTACTATTGTTGCAACGATGAATACTTGATATGTTAATTGTGGACCGGGGCCATGATGAGAGAGATAAGACGGTTTATTCACTTTACATTGTTACAATATTCCCTGCATTTAATAAATTGGTATATTCAACTTTATTAAATACGGGAAGAATGTAGTTATGTAATTTCGAATGCATTCATAATGTGATTTATTTGATGACCTTTAGTTCTGAATGTTCAATTTATATATATGAAATTATTCAAGGCATGAAATTAATTTATCAACGGCCGTGATAACAACTGAGCGCAGTTGCGAAAACCGCTACCGACATCGCCGATGAATCGCATTAAGTTATTATTTATTTATTAACTTTTTTACTTTCTTGCATACTGCTTAAGCAGTATATTTTATGGCCAAAAAACGCTTCGTGTATGTCCGTGAATACATTGAATTCAATTTCAGAAATATATTTTCATTTTAACTTTTGAATAAAAAATTATATTTTTCAAGCCTCGTTTATTTACGAAATTGTAGTTGTATTTGAAGGCAGAAATAGTGGCATAATATTACATAACGCCGACATTTTGAAATAGTTACAAAGTTTGTGCTGTTGTAGCACCTATAGCTATGAACAATTTAAATATTCATTTAAAAAAATTGTATTAATTATTATCATTGAGTGAAATACTATCTACATTAAACTTTAATAATCTAAAAAATTCACAATACATTGAATTCACTCACCACCCTTCTTTTCACTCCCCTTCCTATGGTCTGGGTCATAGCTGCTCAAAACACATGCTACGTCTCCATTCACAAAATTTGAAGTTTTCTTACGATGAGTCTCGGCAAAGAGTAATGCAGATTTGTGGTGGAGTATTTCCGACAGCAATCCTTCAAAGAGTGCCGGGCAACATTCAGAGAAAAATTTCATCTGGGTCTATTCTGAACAAGAGTACCATATTTCGGACAGCGAAGTGCTATCGCAAGACGGGGGGACATGTTTGCTTGGAAATGCAATCGCCGAAATACAGTGCTCAGGCAGCGAAAACTAGGGAAAGTTGGGGATGTTCCTTTCAACTTTCCCGTAACCTTCATTAAGGAAGTTTCAGCAGCAATGCAATCTTTCTAATGAAAGTACGCACTGCGCCACAACAAAATTGAAAATACGAGTACGAGTATTTAAACAACGGACATATCACGAGCTTAAGCATTCTGATCGGCCTGCTCGAATGAAATATTGCAGTTGGCTACGACGATTTGTTAGCAAAGGTTTTGAGCAGTGGCGTAGCATCAATGGATGCGAGTGATGCGTCGTTCCCTTCATTATTCGGTTGGATTTATGATTTACAATCTTTACTGTGTATGTTTCTCATGCAAACTAGTTTAACCTTTCTTTGCACGTTTCACATCACTATATTGGATACACTACCCTGTTATGTAACTTGTGGTTTTGCTAAAGAGTCACATTCGTTCCCTATGTTCGATTCAGCTGCAAGGCCAATACGCAGAAGATCGATAGTGCCAGAGCCCTCTCTATTACTCCCGCAAGTTTTCTTGATACACGAGCTCCCTAGTCCTCATCCAGCGCTGAATAGCACGGCACGTTGACATACTTAGGTTTGACTCGGAACGGCACGTACTCATTTACAATGCTGGCAACAACCACCTCGTACTTTCAAAACAATCGTAGCATTTCTAGTGCAATGATTGGGCGAATTAAGTTCATGCCCACAGTTGGTACGCCCTTTTCAACCGTGACGTAGCCACATCCTTCCTCTCCCCGCACCCCCCGCTATGGAATATCAAGAAAACTTGCGCGTATAGTACACAAGCCGGAGTGATAAAACTGGCAACGCAGCACTCGCTCGGGATAGCCCGCTGGCGGCTAGGCCTGTGCGTGCCCGGGCCGTAGCCTCTGCGTTTTGTCAGATATCTTGAATTCTATGATACTGCTTTCATGCTACTCGTCTCATTTGCATAAAGAAGATCTATATAATCAGAAATTTGCGAAAAGTTCAGAAGTTAACGCACAACTGTATCCTTATTATGTCAGGTTACAAGGGTTCAAGTTAAACTTTTATTTTTAAGCAAGCCGATAACAGGAATAATACTTACCAGAAATATTGACTTGCTTTGTCAGGGGTAAACGTCAGGTTATTTACAAATCTAAACACAGGATTGATTTGATACTTCCATTTACTAAATATAATTTCATTGTTTTCCTTGAAACACAGATAACTTCCTTTTCTTTTTATTTACATTTTGCAAAGAATCATTCTTATGTTTAACATAATTCTTAATATGTATATCGGTAACAAATAACTATAAGTTTATCATAAATGTTGGATAGAGGATTTCCGCAAAACAATAATAATTGATAAGAAATGACCAGGCATCACCGGAACATACCCCCTTCTTTCAACGGTTCCTGAAAAACATTCTTCTGTTTGTATGCTCTTAAAAATACGGTAACGTTTCTCAATGGTGAATTAAAATACACAGGTACTATTTAAACAAAGATGTTTATTTGTAAACAATAATGCACTAAAAATACTTTATTTATTTACAGATAGGTTAAACAGTCTTTGTATTTTTCACTTGATTATTTTCCATTAACACGACTCTGTTTCTTGATTATTTATTTACGCTGTTCACTTCTTCTACATTATCGCACAGTCCGATGCACTGTTCACGGGCCACTACGCAGACCACACTTCACTGCGCTGTTTCCGACTTCAGGCTACTGTTCATCTATTGCACTGGGGTTGCACCTCTCCGGTTTTGAAGCGGAGACTCCGGTTTTTGAGCTTCATCTCCGGGTCTCCGGTTTTTGAAAAATTATCTCAGTTTTTTTTCAATTCAATACATTTTCAAATTTTTACAAATAAATAATTTTTGAACTTAAAATTTAAAGCTTTTTTTTATTTCATCAGAAATATGTCCTTTCCTTCTTCATTAGAAAGATAAAGGCAGAACATGAAAATTGGTCTTGCGATTCTTCGTGTTATCGCCATCCGCTGTCTCTTTCTACGCATATCAGACAGAGACAGCATCTAGCGATTATGCGAGAATCGCATCGCGCAACAGTTTCAAGAAGAATACCCCGGGAATGCTATTCGATATCTTCATTTTGAACAAGATCGAATTTCAGTAATTACCCCCCCCCCGGTCGCAGTGGTCTCCGGTTTTCTGGAATTGGCAAGGTATTCACCCTAATTGCACCACTGTTCACCGCAATGCACACTTAATAGCTCAGCTTCCACATCAGACTGCTGACTGCTGTTCACCTAGTACATACACTGACTGACTCTCGGCCGCCGATAGCGGCGAATTTATACCTGGCCGGCGACTGTCTGGACACATCCGGAACTTGCGCAACACCTCTACGCGACTCGCGAATAACTCGGAACCGTCCAATTCGGGGGCGCCGGCAGATAACGCAATCCACGCAGCGAATCCCGGCAGATGATGCAATATTCGTTACAATACTGTTTCATAAAGCCCTGAAATAAGTGAAGTCATTAAATTCCATGCATATTTACATAACTTTACGACAACCGAGAATGGGCATGTTATACTACCTCTATTCGAAATATCAAAGTACAAACTATTACAATGGTAAGATTATATCAGAGAAATTCAATGGGTTAAAGTAGGATTCACGGCGCACCCTTAGAGAAGCGTGATTGCGGGGGGATGGGTGGAAGGGGGAGGAGGAGTCCCCTTATGCCCTTCCTCAAATTATGCTAAGCGCTCTGATAGAAATGAATAAAACTTACCGATTGGCGATTTTTAAGGCTCGTTAAGTTTGGAGGCGCCCTTAAGGAACCATAAAAACCTCTCAGTTGGGTTTTTGCCTCCTTGAAGACGTCTCCAAGCATATTCCGCCAGGTAGCTGTCGAACTGGCCAGATACACGGCGCCCAGGCAGTTTACGTTTCATTGCGCTCCCCGTTCCTTCAATATGATTTGCGTGCGCACCAGTTTCAGGGTCTCTCAAACACACAGAATTATGTTTCACATAATTATTAATAAGTATATTGGTAACAATATTACTGTAAGTTTATCATAAATGTTGGACAGAGGATTTCCGGATTATCCAAACACCCATTTCCCAACCACTCTCTTACCACGATCGTACTTTCGCGACCAAACTTGCTCTCGTCTATTTCCCCCAATGGGTTCACTCTCTCTATGAGCCGCATTCCTCACGACAAAAACCCATCCAGACGGTCATGGTTCCCTTGCTTACGTTCAATTCATTCATAATAAATTCACTGGGTACTTTCATGACCCAAAGATAGGTCATTACTAATATGGGGATAAATTAAAATATGACACCAAATTCTGTACATGTTTGGGATGAGGTAAGCATAAAATATTGTTCTCCCTCATTATAAGCAGTCGACAATGTTCCTCAGGACATTATATTCAGTTCACATATATCAAAAACGAATATACAATTCAATCAATAGAATATTTACTCTTACAAATGAAAATCATCTGCTTTCCATTTACAGGTCCTGTGAAAACATTTTTCTATATTAGTCTTTCAGTTTAATTAAACTATTTTCAAAATGAGTATCAGATCCGATATCAATATTCACATACCTTGGTAATATATTTTGCAACTGTGACCTCCTTGTTAGCTTCAGGTTTGAAGGTAATACCAAATTCAGCGCATTTGCACAAATTATATTTTGATTAACACACACTTGAACAATGTCTATTTTAATGCTTTTTAAGCCTATCATCAAAATTTTCACACAAATCATCGAAGCCAGTAATAATATCACGTGCTAACCGCTGTTTATTTCTCTTCTTAAATTCTAGTTCAGCAGTCTTTCTTCTCTCTTCGAGGTTGCATATTTGGTGAACACAAATACTCCGGCAGATTAGAGAAATATCTTGGGAATTCAGTGTTACTTAGTGATGGTCGAGAACGATATTTCTTTTCATTGCCATCTGAATCTTTTATATATATATATATATATATATATATATATATAGCTAAGCAGTTCGGGATGGGACAGCCTTAAGGCGGCGCAGTTGGATGGATGCACGGAGGACGAATGGGGGAAGGTAGTAGCAAGCTATATATATTATATATATATATATATAAAAACTTTTATAACATCATTTACACTGAAATGTTTAGTAAAAACGGCTGATCGTTGGGATGCACACCACTTCTTCCTCGGAATTTGTTTACATCGGTAACTGGCTATCGAGAAGTGTCTGCTAAATTAACTGTGTAGAAACGACAACTTTAGGAACAAATTATCGACGTTTTTGCTGAATGAAAAAAAACAAAACAACGATGAATAGAACTAATTTACAAAAAAAGTATAAGATTTTCAGAATACCCAACTGCAAGACCAGCTTCGCCACTGATCACACACACACGCGCGCGTGATTGTATGTTTGTGGGTGCGGGCGTGAGCACTCACACAAGATGCGCTTCTGACTGGAGGAAATTGAGTTCTGATGTCGAACGTGCAGGCGAGAAAATAAATACACTCTATAGTGCAGCACTAATGTGAGGATATGGAAGGAGTCGGCAAGCTGGCCTTGGTTTCCATCTATCTGTCATTTATAAGACCATGCAAATGAACCCTAAGGATGTTGGCATGGATCTTGCGAACACTAACTCAGGGCTTGTAAGCAAACTTCATGCAGAACTCGAAAAACTCGTTTGCCGAAAAAGGGGAAAAGGATTTCAGACATTTTATTTTCGTCTGCAGGTTGCTAAAGCCCTTATCTTAGCTGGCAAAGCTGAATGCAAAATGCGAGGACGCCCTTCCACCACCTCGACGGAAAATTCTCCAAAAATGCGGAAGTGCCAAAATTAAATTAAACCGCTAGAAGTACGTTACTACCACCTAGATCTTATACTAAGATGAGGTAAAGGAGGCAAGTTGATGCAAAAAAATTGGGCACAAAGCCAAAACATTCATGACATGTAAAAATTGTTACTTACATTTATGTATCTCTAAAAAACAACAAATGATTGAAGCATTCCACTCCAAATAAATTCAAGGAAATATATTATTTCTTTGTACAATAAGCATAAACATTTTTAAATATAAATAATTTTTAGTGTTGAAAGGTCCATGTACATTATTATCAAATTTCTTTCCCTTCGACTGCCTAGAATCACCATGTCCTCTCCAGAGGACAGTTTTATATCATTGTGCAGAGGTAACGTACAACAATTTTGAGGATACGAAAAATAAGTAAAAAAATTAATTTATTAATTGTCCTAAAAATCAGAATTTTCCAGTAACATTTTCATAATTCGAAACTGAAAGGGTTAAACGAAACTAAATATTTTTCTAATCAGCAAGGATTGAGTATTTTGAGTATAAAGTTAGACTTTCTGACATGTGGTTTTAAATTAAATATAACGAGTTCAGAACCACAAAGGCCACCTTCCCCGAAGACAACAGTTGTGAGGGATGCTACAGAAAATATTGTCCGTATGTCATCTTACAGTGCATTTAGCACTCTCCATACAAAAAGTTAGTAGAGTGCAATTCGTAACCTTCCTCAAATTACAATATTTAATTTAGTGATTTGTTCTCCATAATTAGTTCTGTCAAGAACATCATGTACATTTTGCTATTAAATTCACTTCTTCTTTTCGCGCAATTTTGTGTGAAATATGTGTAATATTACAAAAAATTCCATAAACAATAATGTCTAAAAAAAAGCTCCAAACTTTTTCTTTATACTTTTGGTAGCCAATGTGCTAAATGTACAGTATAAGGCGACATAAATGCCATTTTGCTCCATTCTTTTGTCTTTTCAAACAATACACAATTGTAATATTTTTTAAAGATCTCTCATGCCGTTAATATGCACGTTTGCAGCGGGTTTGCAGTTAGGTATACATTATTGCAATTGCAAGTAGAAGTGTTTCAAACGATTTCCAATGGAGTTCCTCAAAATCCCAAGTTTTCTATGGAAAAAAAGAGAGAGAGAGAGGGAAAGAGAGAGAGAGAAACATTTTTCACATTTAATGCTTACACTTTTTCTCAAAAACTGCTCCAAATCTTTCAATGAAAATGTCCATATTGGACAAGGTTTTACTGTTCTATAATATTCTTTAAGTCATATTTCAGGTCTATCAGAGGACAGAAAAACTGAGAAAATATGAAATAAAATGTAGTTTGGGTGATGATAGATGGCTGCTGGGAGGAGGTGGGACAAAACTGAAGAGCTAGCCCAGACAAAAGAAATTAAAAAACTAATTAGTACAAAAAATTCTGTAGCACCACTAGTTTGCATTGAAGCCTCATAAAATATATTATTCTGCTAAATAAAGAAAAAAAAGAAGACAATAATAATGCACTTTCTCTGTATTAAGTAAACAAGAAAGTAACATTTGTTTCATGCATTTACATCTGTAACTCACCTCAATCAAATTTTTCTTTCTTACCAATGAATTACTCGCAGAATAAATATTAACATGTTATGTTAAGTATGGGTATTAAATGCATACCCTTCCGCTACAGACACACCAAAACGAAAAATCTCACTACAATTTCTTTGACATTCAAAATGGAAAAAACTTTTTTGAGAGAGAAAAAAAAAGAGCCTTTGTGAGAGAGGGAAGAATGGGAACAAAAATTGTATTATTTGAAAAGTTTAATTTATATCTATTTACTTCAGATAATATACAAAATATGGAATTATAATTTTGTGAGGAGAGAACCTTTGACCTTGCTTATTGCAGACAAAGAGATTGTATCCCATACTAAAAGTCACTGGATTTTCAAACATACATATACAATGCCTTTGTATTATATAATTACATCTCCATAAAATCCTATTGGTAGAAGAAAGGCTCCAGAACCTTTCTGACAAGGAAAAAAATAGAATGTACATATACTGCACAGTGCCTCTAGATACAAAAAGCGTAATCTAGGAGTGCATTGATAGAGGTTGAATGCAAACAGATTCAAATTATCTCTTAACAAACAATGATATGGTGGATCATCAACTGACCAAATATCAACAAGAATAAAATGACATTCTAATTATTTTATCAATATAAATCATCTCATTTGTCAACATACTGAAATATCATACATCTTTCCTAAGAGGAAAAGTCCTACATTTCCAAATCAGCCCAATTAAAACAATCTTTGTCCCATACAAATTAACCAAAAATACCCTTAAATGACACATGAAAAGAAGTGTGCACCAGGGATTCCCGAATTACAGTAATTAGATCTGCAATGAAACTGATTATTCTTAAAATATATGATTTTATCAATTTCAAAATCCACACATAAAAACTATTTTAGTTATTTAGAAAATTATTATTATTATTACCTGACTTGGCTCTTTAGATTAGATTTTAACATAATCTGAACCTTTACATCAATGACAGAAAATGCCATTTGCAGAAACATGATCTTATCATTTAATAATTTGTAAAACATTACAAAAATTTATAATTTCATGTATTTTCTACCAAATAAGTTTGTTTTCATAAAACTTTAAACTGAACACCTTTTTAGATCTATTACTCTCTATACTACAAAACTAAATGACATCATATAACTTGAGATGTTGACAACTACACAGAGCAATTAACTAAATTAAAAACCTGAATACAATCTACATTAACTCAGTGATAACGGTGGCTAACAAAGATGATAAGGTTAGAATCTAATTATTCTGAAATACTGATGCGAAGATTGTTAGGAAGCCTCAATGTACCCAATTAATTAAACTGGGAATCCCTGAGGTAAAACATTGAAATAACAAATGTGCATTATAAATATACATATACTTAACAGTACAACTGAGTATGTTTTGAAATTCAATGATCTACTAGCACTTTTATTTCCTAAACATTTGTACCTACTCTTGTATTTACAAAGTAACACATTTATGTCATTTATTCTCAAATAAATTCAATGCTTAATGTTTTCTGTATGTTTTTAATTACACAAACCATTCTATATTTAATTACAGTTATCAGTCAGAACTAACACACAAAACTGTAAATAAAATACACAACCCTGATACATTTTGTTTGTTCATAGAAAAACATTCCTCTTTTGGGCCTTATTACAAACAGTAGTTAAAAACCTCATTTTATAGAGCCAATCTCTTAGAAATACATTAACACAGCTAAGAAATACACATTAACAAACGTTAACAATTGAATTCATTCATGATATGCCTACTCCACTATACTGAAGAAGAGAGGTCAGATCACATGCATTAAACATCAAATAGTTTCAATGAAAGTCTGCGGTCCTATAAATTATTACAGGTTTATACATGGGACTATTATTAATCTGTCATAATACGTCGGTACTTTCTTGCAGGAGAATTGTCATCATCATCGGAACCTATAGCTGATTCGTATGCATAAGCTGGCAACCATTTCTCCAAGAGTTTATCAAAAAATTCTTCCAAATTCTTTGCATCTTGATACACTTGACTATCCTTCTGTAAAACAAACAAAAATGATTATAAAGAACACCAAAACTGTCAATTTAAAAAAAACTATGTTTAATGCAAGATGAAAATTTTTCTCGGTTACAATTACATCAAAGCCACACATATAAGTTATTTAAATATCCTGGCCTGCCCACAAAAGTTACTACAATAGGTCTACATACAATTTTATATTAATACAATTTAAAATAATTGTAGTTAGAAATATTTCTCACTTGATACCAGAAAGCTGATTCATCATTTGAATCTCATATCATTACTTTTAGATGAAATTAAAATGTTAAACCTCAATCAAATAGGAGACCAAACATTTGACGTATCCTTGTTCCAAAGGAAAGTCACAATGCAAATAATTGTTCTACCAGGAATGGAAGGCACAAGCATGAGTTGTGTCACACTAAAAGATGGGCACCTATAATTCAGAAATATTATTTGTTCATAATTAGTGTAGAATTCAACTGCAAGGAAATGGCTTTTGAATTTATTTTTTACATACTTGTCCTTTGTAGTTACATTGATATCATTATTATTTTAAAAATTATCATCATTATCATTATTAAAGATATTTCATTAAAACTAATGACAAATACAGTGTTAATAATTAGTTTCCATAGACAACCCTGAGAAACCACAAATTTAGAAGACCAAATGAAAATTCTGTCTTTGAATGAAAGTTTCTGCTAATAAAAATTTGGATACTTCAATTTAAGGATAATAGTGAAAACAAATAAGTGTTTCATTCAGTAATAATAAATAATAATTTACTGACTAAAAACCCTTTCATTGTAATAGTTCATATTGATTATTAGATTCAAAATACAACAAAATTTCACACAATTCAAGTAAAATCAGTAAAAATATTAACAGTAGCAATTTTTAAAAAAATATTATTATAATTATAATAATAATTATTATTATTATTTTAGAATAGGAACACACTTCCCTTCACCCCATCATTATTTCTCCATAATGGGCTTTTACATAAATATTCAAAAATGTCTTTAATCACATCACTGAAATATATACTCCCTAGGCCAGGGCTGTCCAACTGGCAGCCTGAGAAAGGTTATTAGACAAATGTGAAAGTCCTTTGTATACATTTTGAGAATATCGTGCCCTGTTCATGCCCCCTTTCAAGATCAACAACCCCTCAATTTCAAAGCAGGTTAAGTTTAGACTTAAGGAAAAAACTTTTTCTAGTAAATTCAGAAATTCAAAATTATTCCAATGTTTTTTCACTGTGGTTTGCCTGGCAGAGCATAACTGTGCATGGACAAGCAACTGTATCCTTAAAAATATTTTACCCAATAAAGATACTTTCAAACTACACATTTGGAATCAGGAACTCAAAACAGAACATCTTCACTACACATGTCATTTCTTTTTTTCCTTCTCTTGCATTAATGTGGGTGCTAATGCAGCCTGATTTCTTTAAAACTTAACTATACTTAAATCCATATGAAGCAATTATTATCAATTTGTTTTAAATGTAATTGCAAAAAACCAAGTTCGTATACATTTTGTTAAAAAACATGTTTGTATTTTAATAACTAATTATTGGGCAATTGCCTGTTTCCAAATGAAATAAAATAAATGAAAAAATAAAATTACTTCTAGTTCATTAGTATTCAAAAATATTTTAAATGCATTGAATAATTTCATCTTGTATGTCTGGATACCTGGAGGGATAACATCAATTTTATAAAATATAATTATTTTTATTATTTTATAAAATATTTTCATTACTGTACATAATATGTTAACCTTTCCTTGACTTAATTGATTATTGACACATTAATTACTTTCCTCATGATGGAATTTGAATTTGACTGAAAACTTGATTCAATGTTCAGTGGTTTGGGAATGAAAACTTCAGTTTAAAATGAAACTATTTTGTTACATAATATGCAGGAGAAGATAATGTATTTTTAGAAAATATGAAATTAAGTTTCTGAAATACCTTTTTTAACTTTTGACATAATCTTACTAATACAAAGAAACTACAATCAACATTCTCCCAGAACTATAGGCATCAAAGAAAAAATCTACATTTTTCTCATTATTGCAGATTGTCAATCTAGGGAAAAAGATCTATAACTGAGGGGATTTTGGAAATTCCTCCACCAAAATTAATCAAGCTCTTACTACCGAACAGATACAAAGTCTCACCAGAAACTTTTAGTTATAACAGGAAGGACACAATGTATCTTTCCTTAAATGCCAAGGAAAAATTCTGAATAACCAAGAGAGTCGGCAACAGTCACCATTTTAGAGTTTCATTCTTTATTTCAGATCACAATACATTGTTATCACTTGTATTATTTCTGTAGTATACATGCATTTTGCAGTTCTCACACTCAACCAATGTTAACGAATGAGATGTCACAAGAAAGAGAATTTCAGCAAGTGGAAAAATTAAACTTTCTAATCATAAATATTAATATTAGTTGGATGAAAACATGTCTACATTACAATGACACCAGTACTTATTACCATCTTACAACACAGGTCCAGTTTACGATCAACCTATTGACATCTTACATAATTAAACATGGTTCATCATAGGGCATAAAATCTGGTTATCGTGGTCATTGGCCTGTCTTGAGTAATATATCACCCAGTAATCTACAGAAATGCTACAATCAACAAAATGAGATCTTTTGAAACCTTCTATTACATGTTTTGGAGATCAGCCCATCTGGGTACTCCTGCTCCATGATGCATGTTATGTATTATCTTGATTTCTATTACAACACGTTGTATTAACATATTTTTCACTTCTTTTGGATGTGGGTGGAAAGGGGTTTCTAGTATTTTTGAGTTTTCACATGGGTCTTGGTTTTTTTATGGTCAGACATTCCAAATGTGCTTCACTAAAGTTTTCACTACTACCTTTGATATTTAAGTTCCCTTCACCATTAGAAAATCGTGTTACAAAACATCAAGAAATACCATTAACGATGTATGCATGCGGATATGGTTACAAAGAAAATTGTCTACAATTCAATAATATGAAGCCGTCATGAGAGATGTGAATGAAATGTATAAGTCTATTTTGAGTTTTCCCACAAATAAGAAAGCCACCTTAAATATTAACAAGTGCTTATAAAATGTCAAGTTAGTATAAAGTTAATAATTTAAGGATCCTAACAAATTAAGAAATACAATTCTGAATGGAACCAAACATGATCCAAACAACATTCACACTAAAAATTTTACACATGTATTCTTGCATCACAAAACATACAATAACAAGAAGTTGATGTCTGTACAATTGTGTACATTTGTCACAATTTTTTACTGTAGATTCAAATATTTTATTCCTCAAAGTGTTGGATTTTTAACTTCACACAAAATTCTCTCTCTAAAATTTCTAATTTAAATGATTACAAAAATTTTCTATTGAAAACATTTACACAGTGGAACTTTAATATCTTGAATATGAGGAGGGAATGGAAAAAGTTGAGTTATTCAATGTGTGAAATTTAGAGAGAAATTCTAGATACAAAAGGATAATCTTGGATGAAGGAACTCTTTTCTGCTACACGCTTGTAATTCAACTGCCTTGAAAGTGATAAGTGATTATTGTAATTCAAAAATACTTCAAAAGATTTAGAAAGTAACAATAAATGTTTAAAGTTCTTACTAAATTTTTTAAAGAAAATAATTAAATGGTCATATAAAGGAGCAAGTTTATGAAAAAATATCATCTGAAAAAATTGAAGAACGCAGAAATTTGCAAATATTTGTAAAGAATACTCACAATAACAACTAGAGATAATTGAATTTGTGTACAAATTTTAAAAAATGCATATTTTATTAGCTATTAATTCTTAAATAAATGTTAAAAATTCTTTATGAATAAACTTATTTAGACCAAATTTAATTTAGCATATTTGAAGGTTATTGCATATTTCTGCTAGAAAGCATTTTTTATAAAGAGGAAAATATCAGTAATCATTTTCAAAAACTTTCGGTACAATGTATTTGTACATGTAGAATAAGTTCAATTATTTTGGAACACATGTCTGTTTAGGCTAAAAACAAAAATAGGTCTGAAGTCCATGTAAAAGGGCTTTTTGGATTTGGGGAACACAGTGATTTGTAGTTCTTGCCATAAGTGGAATATCTTATTATTGATTGCCTTCAATCAAAGATTGATTTTACATTTTAAACCAGTTTCCAACAGAAGTAGACATGACAGACAGAAGTTTAAACAAAAAATAGAATGAAAACTGATAATTCCATACAATGAGGAAAAATTCAATTTTTTATTAATGGAAAGGTATTATTTTGTACGACTTGGGCAAAGCAAATTCTAAATTTTTGCAGACCAGTGTTACAAGAGTTTGCACTTCAATTATTTATTTTATTACTGTATATGTTATTGGACAGATACCCATTTATCAGCTCTTCAGAAAAAAACAAACAAGATCTTTGATTTCTTTCATGCACATTCGTAAATCTTAGAAAAGATTTTTAGAAAAACACCACAACATCGAAATTCCTCATGAAAGAACTCTTCGTAAAAATTATTTTAAAATTCTTATAGAAAAGACAATTGAAATTAAAACAAAATTCATACTTTGTGGACACTATGGATGTAAAAACTGGTATAATCTGTTTGCATATTGGTGAATGGTGGGAGAGCCTACCAATTACATATAAGAATTTTGGCGGATGATAAAAATTAAATTTCCTGAAGATTTTCATTGGATATGTTTTGCGTAAAACTAACGTTTTTATTGCACATACGACATTTTTTGCATTTTTACTGCATCTATAATGATGAGCATTCACTCCACAAAGAAACAATGCTTGCCTCTTTTCAATTTCAAACTCCAGAGGAAACAAAAATCCCATTTCAGAGGTTCCCATCCCAAAATGAAAAATTTGGAAAATATTTAACTTACACTGGCAAATTAACAGCATTGTATACTGAAGGAGATGAAAAATACTTTAAATATCAAAATCTTTAAAAATAGTTTCTG